GTTTGAATTTTAACTCATTCCAACGTCCAAGCATACATTTTTATAGGCTTTAAGGTTCATGTTCATGTTGGTTGCTTGCTTTTAACATATTACATGTCAAAACTCAAGCTTTAAACAAGAAAAACTCATGATCAAGGTTCAACAACTTACCCAAGGCTTCAAAACAAAGCTACAATGGTTCTGGAACTCTCACAATAGCTCCTCAAGTTCTGACTTTAAGGAAGTACGAAAATACTCCACAAGCAAGGTCCTTTCTTCCCAAAGGTTGCTTCTTAAAGCCACACAAGCAAGGAACAATGGCTCCTTCCCCACAAACAGTGAAGTTAGCCCACAAAACACTCACAAACAGCACCTCCAACTCATAAAGTAGCTGACCTCCTCTCTCACAATGTTAACCCACACCCAACCAAGTGTTTAGATGAAGAAAGATGAGAGGAAAGATGAAGACTTGGGAGATAATAACACTAATGGCTACACTTATCTTTTTAATCTCAAACTCAGGATTCTGAACCTACTCATTTTTTTTAAGATTTTTCATATTTTTATATTATTTTTCGGAGCACCTTTCTGGTACGTGCTTTTACATAGCTAGTATCAGTTCTGGCACCAGTTCTCATTATTTCGACCTGAAACTTGTTTTACCAGTCCTATATATTATTCTAGGAATATTTCCACACTTATTATAATTTTCTGGGACACTTCATCGGTACACATTTATACCGAGGAGCAGAACCGGTATCTGCATTTTTTGTCAGAAAAGTGACTTTCAGCATTATTACTTATTTACCATAATTATTTAAGCCTTCTCATAATTATTAGGGTCAATTATGGAATTATCTCATTAAACACTTAATTAATTAATTAATTTCTTAAATTAACGGTGCGGGTTTTTACATCACTTATCCCATAATTGCTCCAAGTCAAGCACATTAACTATGGAGTTTTTCCATTTCGAATTACCAAAAAGTAGATGTATCTTGTTAGTATATAGTACCAATTAATTCTTATAAACTATCCCAAACTGTACCGTCTCATATTAGTACAGTCTCTGAAATCCATGTCTTTCGTCTGTTAATTCGATTCATTCATGTACCCTAAGCTACAAGATTTGGCATCAGGCGTTCATTGTCCGTGCCTTTTTTGCACCGGCGATCACTCTTTGCCCTTGCCAGCCCTTGGGATGTTACATGCCCACAAGCTTCGGCCTGGTTCATCCTCGAATCACACGATACTGAGAGAGGCCCTGTTCTGATATCATTTGTAACGCCCGACAACTTGTAAGGATCAATGTCTGTCCCCACAAACTAACACGAGACTTTTCAGCGTGCTTTGTCCTCACTCACACATTTTCTGGTAAAACTTCTTAGGAAGCCACCCATCCCAAAATTGTTCTGAGTCAAACACGCTTAACTATGGAGTTCTTCCGTTCTGAACTACCGAAAAGTAAATGCATCTTATCAGTATAGGTAGTACTAATTGATTTTTATAAGTTATCCCCAACTGTACTGTCTCATACCAACATAGTCTCTGAAATCTCTTTCTTTCGAGTGTTAATTCGATTCATTCATGTACCCCCAGCTGCAAGATTTGGCATGATTTACTCATTGTTCGTGCCTCTTTTGCACTGACGATTACTCTTCGATGCCAGAGATGTTATAACTCCTATCACTTGAATTCGTAACTGCCCCAATTCCTTTTGTTGTAGTTTATAAATAAAAAAAATAAAAATAAATGTATTCAATTTAATAATTATATGAGTCGCGCCCACACCAAAATCAAAATCTAGCCCAAAACATTAGTTTCGTAATAATATCTATTGGAATATCTGACTCAGAAAAAAGAAAAAAAAAACAGTTATAATACAAGCAAATCTGACGATGGGAGAATGGCAAATTAAAAATTCCTAAGCTAACCACAGTACATTAGTAAAGTAGTAGAGGACACCAAATTAATAATTTTTAGTTACATGACTGACTAAAAATTATACAGCTCTAGCGCATTACTCATACTTTGCATTTGGTGCACAAAACATATTTCCTTATCATTCACGGGGTCTTGTATTATTATTAATTATTTATTTTGGATAAATCACATGTTTTACGGGAGACAACTCTATTTGAAACAAGAACATACACATCATGATAAGGTTAGCTTTCCCAAAGAAATTTTTTTGCATTGACAAGGACTTGAAATCGTGTCCTTCGACATCGTGATGTAATCATATTACACCCGAGACATTACTTAAGCGAAATTAAACATGTATCATTTGAACTAATCCCATTAATTCTTGTATTATTTAATTTGGATCTTGGTTTCTTGATAAATTGGGTTTGGGACACGAATAATTACTATACGATTTAGGATTTTTGAGTTCTTATAACATAATGATTGTAACAAGTGAACCAGAATAAATATGTGTCTCTTTTTCTTTTCATGCTTATTTGATTGTGTGTAATTGCTGTATTAATTCCAGCAGGTTATTACAAGTTATAACCCAATGCAACGCATTTGATCGATCTTACCAACTCTTATAAGATATATTATTAACGTCCCATATATGTTACACAGGTTAATATTTTTGACAAAATTGTGCTCCAATCCGTTCTCTAAAACCAAATTTTTTAGAGACTGAAATTAATCTATTAAAACTTGAAGTTTAATTAAACAGGAAGCTTATTCTTTAAGAGTCATGAACTCGGATTTACGATAAATTTCATATGCAAGAATATATCAATAAATTGAATTTTATAATGTACATGCATATAGTTGTATAGTATTTTTTTTTTAATTCCGTAAGTAAATAAACATGTTACTATATATAGAGTTCATCGTGAATCCGATTTTATAATAACACGACTCTTTCTTTTTGATTGTTTTTCATCATAAAAATATATTTTAGAAGATGAAACTGTAAACAAACATATATCACTTCACATAGATCTATACAATTTTGTCCCCATTAAACTACAGTAGATTTCACATATTTTTGTGCATTTCCGTATTCTGATTCAACTACCTTACACGCGTGAAGTGATGTGCTGGACGCTGAAATGCACCAAACGTAATTCTACTGTCTTACCCAGCTACCCGTATTTGAACTAATCCAAGGCAGAAATTAAGTATTTGTTACTATCTCTCTCTCTCTTTTTCTCTTTTTCTTTTTTCTTTCTTAATCTTCTTTAGCATATCCAAATTAAATAAAGGCTTTAGTCTCATACGTCATTCCTTCTAGATCTAGATCCATATTATCCAACAAGAGGAGCATAAAAATTGCTTTGAATGTACTTAAAAAAAAAAAAATTGCTTTGAGAGTTGAAATATGGATGCTTCATGGTTGTTACCCTTACCCATATACGTACGAACAAGGAAGCATCCAACAAGAACACGTCTCAATCTCCGGCAATTAAGCTAAACTATATATACTTTAATATCATTTAACGATATAATAGTATATGATCTTTAATTTGTGATCCATTCACAAAGAAAGATATCAGTTATTTTTTAATGCATTTCATTAAAGGTTTTAAATCAAGAGAGTACTCACCTTTGCTTGGGACCACTACTAATGTGGACAGAGAACAAATAATTGAAAATGGCATGCAAGATCAGTTTTCAAAATGGAAAGAATAATTGCACCAAAAAATTGTGATAAGGACATGATGAGAAGACGTTGCATATGATAAGGAAAAGCAAGTTGATTTGGAAACAGCACGTTGATTAACAAATCACCGTCCAAACTGATCATATTCAAGTTCAACACGCCAAAGTGCCCCTCAAATTGATTTCTTGCACGCAAGACCACCAAACTTCCCTGGACATAAAGCACGAGATGAGCAATAACATTATAAACTAGACTTTACGTATTCAACATTGCAACTAAACCCGCATAAGATAACTCCTTACATTGCTTTCTAAATGTTCTTATTGGGTTTGTTATTAAGATCCCGAACGTGTTCTTCTCTCACATCATAAATGAAAGGCCTAACCTTGCCACGTTACATGTGCCATACTGGTACATTAGGTGCCTTCCCTGAAAATTTATTAAACTTTTGATGTCTTCCTAATATATACTTGAGATTAGACATAACATTACTACGTGGATACAACTGTTAATATTTATACGAAGGTTATATTTATAATCTATTTTTATTTATAACCTCTTACAATTATATTTTAACGTTGATTTTCGTCAATTAATGGTTAAGATATTCGCAAATTAAATTTATTAATTAATTATTAATTCACAATAAATGATAATAATTGATTGACGGAAATCAAGGTTGTAAATAAAAATAAGTCGTAAGTATAACATTTTCGGTACATTAATATGTAAAGAAAAATTGTAATATAAAAAAGAAGCGCGAGATCATCACTACGGTGTGATGCGTGAGGGTGTTGCTATGCTTTCCATTCGGGATATTTGTTCTCAATGCGAGTTGTAATTTATTCATTAATTTTTGGTTTGAAAGTCTATTAAATATAGCCTCTCCCAGCAAACAATTAATAAATATTTGATAACTCATTATTTGATTTAATGTCTTGTATAAAATAAAATTATCTACTATACACATACATAAAAGTATATAAAATTCATATTTTTTTCTCTCTTTTCTCTTCACATGAGTCCCATACACTTATATGTATGTGTAGAATATAATTTTATCTCTTTAGGACAAACATTGAATCCCTTATTATATTAGTACCTATGAAAAGATTAGTACTAGATACATGTATGTATATTTTTAGAAGACCAAGACCACAATTAATTAATTACCCAATGGCAACTTCGAAGGTACGTTGTGGTGTTTGTGTGGATAACCCCAACACTTTTTTATAATGCAATTAGTACTTGACAAGTTATGGGAAACTATTCGTTAGCATATTCCATCGATATGCCTTTAGGTACAATACAACATGGTTGCATTATAAATATCACTTTCATGCCAGTAAGAAATATCACTTTATATCAACCTCTTAACTACTCAAGTCCTTTAGATAGAGAGATTGTGTAGAAGGAAGCATCAAAGATGAAACTCAGCTTTTCCTTATTGTCCAAGCTTTTGATACTGCAATATCTATCAGTTCTATGTCTTTCTGCAGACGATTTTGATTTCTTCTACTTTGTTCAGCAGGTAAATCATAGGTTCTGCTAATCTTGAATGTTTCTTTTTCCTTATTATATATATTTTTTTTCATGTATTGATTCGTTTAAGTTTTATGTCTCTCTGCATATTTACATTTTATTCTGATTCTTATCTTTGAATTATGAATAATGCAGTGGCCAGGGTCATACTGTGACACGAAGCAGAGTTGCTGCTATCCAAAGACTGGAAAACCTACGGCAGATTTCGGCATTCATGGACTCTGGCCTAACTACAATGATGGCTCATGGCCCTCAAACTGTGATCCTGATAGCGTATTTGATAAATCTCAGGTACTTATAATATTAAAAATAATTAAAAAAAGATGGTGAAAGGAGATGAATTTGATTAGTTGGCATGCCTGCAGGAGTAGCTCAATGTATAAATTATTTACACACTTGGTACCGATGAAAGATTTTCAAGTAATTATGATGTAATTCTTGGTTAAACCAGAAAATAATATTTGAGGGTGCCATACATTGTAATTATCATAAATGAAATTGAATAGTTAGGAATGCTTAGTAGTTTATAAAAATTTATAATGAACTAGAAAAAAAAAATCAAAAACTTCACTTCCCATCAAACCCAACTAGGGAAGATAGGAGTAAGGGCAATAATACACGATCTTACTTCTACATATTTGGAGTGTTTCCCCAATTTCAACCCATTCCCTAGAAAATGTAATTAAAACGTTGACCATAACTAGACTGATTTAAGGAGGCCTTGGACTGGTTTTGAGCATAGTAATGTAAATAAGAATGCTATTTATATATTCAGCATATATATCAAGATCAATACTATGCATGTTTAGCCTTAAGAAAACAATCAAAATAATATTCCAGATGTAAATATTACTCATTTTTTGTTAGTTTTTCCATGTCTTGAGATCGATTCAGGTTCTCTTAATCTTCTCAAATTCATTACATATATACTCGCTAAATAGAATACCTTTAAATAACTCCTTTTGTCAAGGTCTGGCAAATTTGAAATATTTCCACCTCTATCCATGAACATGGCTAGTAGCTTTAATGCTTTATGCCTGGCTCTGGTTGAAGATTGATATTGCTGTTGGAAGAGTCAACGAGAGTTGGCTAACCTACCGTATAGTATACACACTTTATGTCACGAGCCTTCATATGATGATTTAAACTTTCGGGAGAAAGGTAGTCCCAATTTTACAATCACTGACATTCATTTATGTATAGCTGACATAACTTAGTGTGATAGAGATAAAATATGCAGACATCTCATCCATTTTCTTGATTTACTTAAGTTGAAGAAGCAAAAGTGTGGACCTTAAACTTGCACTAAAGTTAAGAAAAAAAAGAAGAAGCAATATTTTAAAGAAAAAAAAAAAAGGAAGGAAGAAGATGCCTAATTACAACTGAGTAGGTGTAAATGGATTGGGTCAAATTAGATTTTGGTTTAAATAGACTAAATATGTATAAAATATTTTAAGCCTAACTTATTAACATGAGGTAAGCTAGATTATATGTTTGGTATTGCTTAAATTTGTTAGTCTATTTAAGTGAATCAAGGTTTTAATATCTATTAAGAATTATAAAAAATAAATGAATTAATATTATTCTATTAGTTAAAATTATTTAAAAATTTATTTTAGTTTAATCAAAATAAATAATATTATATAGACTAGTATATAGATCATACTTTGTAAAAATAGATTTATGATCTATTTTCTAAATAGATTTTTTATGGCTTCAGCTTGTTCTATATTAATGAGTATATTAGGTCAGACTTGATCTAATATGAGCAAAATTATAAGCCCTTGACTTGATAGGTCATTTAATCCATTTACAGCTGTATGAGTACAATATTAGTGGTTAAGTTTATGGAATAATGTTATGATATTAGTGCATTTCTCTAGTGAAACACTCATAAATGAGTAATATTTTTGGTACATAGATCTCAGACCTCCTTAGCAGCATGGAGAAGAACTGGCCATCCCTGAGCTGCCCAAGTAGCAATGGCATAAGGTTCTGGTCACACGAATGGCAGAAACATGGTACCTGCGCTGAATCTGAGATTGATCAGCGTGAGTACTTTGAAACAGCTCTCAAACTGAAGGAGAAAGTGAACCTTCTTAAGAACCTCAAGGATGCAGGTACACAACACTTCATCTAGCTCCCAATACAAAGTTAAACAGACTTAATTTTGAAGCCTCTGATGAGAGCTTAAAAATGAAGCATATTTACAAAACTCTTTCTAATCATTTTAAGGGCAATGAATTTCAGGGATTGAACCAGATGATGAATTTTACAGCCTAGACAGCATTAAAGAGGCTATAAAACAGGGTTCTGGGTTTACCCCAGGGATAGAGTGTAATAAGGATTCAGGTCATAACAGCCAGCTTTACCAAGTTTACATGTGTGTGGACACTTCTGGGTCAAATTTCATTGAGTGCCCTATCTTTCCAAAGAGCAAATGTGGTTCACAAATACAATTCCCCAAGTTTTAAGAGAATTTAGTTGAGCAAAACATTGTTTAAACTTGTTGCTTTCTAGTTATTATAGTACTTCTAAACTTTCACAAGATGACGACTATGCAGCCATCTTCCTTTGTATGTGCCTTGTAATAATAAAAAAGTCTATGGGATTGTGATGTAGATCGATAAATTTACATCAGATTGCCAATTCGGATTTTGAATTGAGCTCTTGCTATGTAGGAATGTCAAAGGTACCCCCATCTCATACTGATTTTATCCCATAATTTAAAATGCTTACAAAATTAAAAAATAGCATATCCAGTTTAATTATATTTTATATTAATACATTCACTTAAATATTTATTATATGAATAACACCATGTATGGTACCTTTCTAACAATGAAAATTCAACTTATACTCAAATTAAGCATTAGTCTTGTTCAAATAAAAATATAAACAATATCTACCAAAAAATAAATAAATATAAACAATATCTACCAAAAAATAAATAAATATAAACAATATTACAAATTGACATATATTTATTTCTTGCAATGGAATCTTAATCTCTAAGATCTGATCATAAACACGTGCCAATGTTTTTGTCACATATTTGTATCCATATTAAATCTTAATATTGTTTCAATAATTTGCAATGTTAAATAGCTACTTTTCTTTGAATATACAAAAAAAAAAATTAATTTTTTTTTTGACAATATAACCACAAACAAGTTCTGGATAAAAAAAAACCATACCTACACCTGTGCTAATTCTCACAATAATTTTCTCAAATTCTTGATTTACTACAATTATCAAATATAAGCATTATTGTATATATACACATGCCATAATGTTAACAGTTCACAATGTATCCCAAAATATCAACAGTACTCTCAACTTTTAAGTCAAAAAAATGCATTGAAGAAAAAAAAAATGCAAAAAAAAAAAACTCGTATGTATTTTCGCTTCATATCACAAAATAATGATATCATACATAATAGTATAAAAACATGGGTTTTATTAATCTCATGTTAAAGGAGATAAGTTATCTCATGTCATAGAGACAAACTTGTGAGCTCCACCACTTGAAAAAAAAAAAAAAAAAGATGGCACAATTATTGAAGAATATGTAGGAGAGAAACTTATCACATGTAGCATAATAGTAATTTTTCCCTAAAAACATATCACAAAATAATGATATCATACCTATTAGTATAAAAACCATTAGGTGGTGTTTGGTTGGGAGCTTTTCAGCGGATATCTATCTTTCTCAAGTATGGCTTTTAGAAATACCATGTTTGTTTCAACGTTTTTCACCAAAAACCCATCTATCCAATTTGTCTGGATTTATGAGAAACATAGATATCCGCACTGTTAAGAAACCCAATTTGAAGGTGGGATTTTTCAGAAAACCGGTTATTTAGCTTTTAATGCAATGTTGATTTTATAAAGTTACCTAATTTTCCCAGTAAAGTTTTTTTCCACCAAACAATTTTTTTTTTTACATTTTTTTACCTATCTTACTTTATCTATGTTTCCAATCATTTCTCTATCTATTTTATTTCTTTACTATACCAAAATTTTTTCCTGAACCAAACGCCCCTTGTAGGATTCAGTCTTTGAGACATCACGATAATGCTATATATCTGCGGCTCTAATAGTAGTGTACTAGTGTCCATGGTCAAAGGCAGGAAAATAAATCTTCAAAATTGATAGAAAAATAAGCTTTAGAACAATCTAAATTAGTTACAAACTTACAATTTCAAGAATTAGATAAGAGTTAATCATAACATATAACTCAAGAGCTAAAAAAATAAATAGATAAATTGAAATAATTAATAAATAGTCAAAATAAACAATTCAAATATCAAAGGAATATAAATAGTAATAGAAAATAAAAACAATGACGGAAAGAACAAAATTACCACAAAGACAAGTACTCACTCACCACCAAACCTCAATAACAACCAACAGATTAAGAGAGAAATATTTTCCTTACTAAAACAACTTGACCCGAAACTTAGTAATAAAGCCCATGTATTAAATTTTGGGAATGAATCAAGTTCATGGAAATCAATTCTTTAAATAAGATGAAAGAAGAGAGTTAAAGTTATTAGGATTGGTCTAGTAATGAGTTAAGCCATATAAGCTAGAATCTCAATGTTACTACTATATTCAAAAATAAAAAGAAGAAGAGAATGATCACTCAGAAGTCAAATTTCAATAGTGAAGAAAGCATTAACAAATTTTTTTTTTTTTTAAATGGAACAAAGTGAAAAATATGATTTCACTAAGGTGGGACAAAGACAAGGATTGAATTCAAAAACAAAAGACCAGGATTGAAACATATACATCAAATATAATATATATATATATATATAGGTAGGATCCTTTGACACCGGTGTCAAAATTTAAATTTGACACCTCGTCTGAAAGTCGTTAGATCAAAAAAGGTCAATGGTGTCACATGCTTACAAATCAGAGTCGTTGATCTTTTTTGATCTAACGGCTCTCGGATGAGGTGTCAAATTTAAAATTTAGCACTGGTGTCAAAGGATCCTACCTCATATATATATATATATATATATATATATATATATAGGATCCTTTGACACCTCATCTCAGAACCGTTAGATCAAAAAAAATCAATGGCTCTGATTTGTAAGCATGTGACACCGTTGATTTTTCTTGATCTAACGGCTCTCAGATGAGGTGTCAAATTTTAAATTTGACACCTCTGTCAAAAGATCCTACCTCATATATATTGATTTTTTTTTATCTAATGGCTCTCAGATGAGGTGTCAAATTTCAAATTTGACACCGGTGTCAAAGGATCCTACCTATATATATATATATATATATATATGGAAAAAAACTACTCTTATGTTACATGTGATAACATTCTCTCCTACATATCTTTCGATAACTGTGACATCTTTTTCTTTTTCTTTTTTAGATGGTGGAGCCCATAAATTTATCTCTATGACATGAGATAACTTATCCCCTTTAACTTGAGATTAATGAAACCTTATATATATATATATATATATATATATATATATATATATATATATATATATATATATATATATATATAAGGTTTATTATCTTTCAAATTGTACAAGATAAATTTATCTCCTACATAAATATAAAAGTGTATGGAATTCATATTTTTTATCTTCTTTTTTCTCATATGAATCCACATAGGTTCCACACATTTTTATGTATAATTTATTTTATATATCATGAGAAACATTAATCCCTGAAAAAAAAATACAACAAAAATGAAATGCTCTACGTATTATCGCTTGCTAAAAATGTTCGTGGAAGATATGTTATCAATTATGTTTATGTGGGCAGCATTCCAGTCATTAGCTAGCAACAAATGAAATCATACATTTTTTAACATAATGAAATCGTATGATGTATAAAAAAAATATTCATTCATACGTTTAAAAAATAATAGTTCCCTTGAAAGTCCTTTTTTTTTTTTTTTTTTATAAAAAAAATCCTTACCCCACTTTGTATAAGGGCTAATCACTTGAAGTAGGAATAATTGAACATTTTTAAATAATAAACCAAAAACAATATAGCATACAAACCAAATGACAGATTAAGCAATAGGTGGGCCATATTGGCAAGTATAGATGAATGAGGACGAATTTATCATACCCAACCCAGCCCAGTCGAATTGCCCAATACGATCAAACTAATTAGAGCAGCTTGCCCTTTAAGGTTTGCTCCAACAATCTTATTCTTTGGTGAGATGTCAATGACAAATGGCAATGCTTCGCTTCACATGAAACCATTGATTCACACACATATACAATAATGAAAACCACCAACAATTTATGTCGCCTAACTCAATATAAAATATTCAAGAATGCACAAAAATGAAAAGGGTATTCATTGTGTTTGGTTATAATGTCTGTCGTTCTTCATGTCTCATCTTCTAAAAATGAGACAGAGTGACCGTTGGCCGGTTGCGAGAGTTACATTTCACCTTTGAGGTAAACGACGCTTTCGCTTCCTAACAAAGACAAGGGTATTTCAGTAATTATGCCACATGCCGGCCCAGGGCAGCTACAATACTACCAAATAAAGATAATCTTACTTTTAAAAATAAAAAATAAAGAGTTTATTTCTATTTTACCTTGTAACTCCAGTTGGCAATACTATAATTATAAGCAATTAATAAAATGCTAATTAAAATAGAAAAAATGAAAAAAAAAAAAAAAAAAACCTTCATTCCTTAACCGGGGGGGGTTAAATTAAAGTGTTTGTGGACCCTACCGAAAAAACAAAAAAAGTGTTTGGGACCACTAATGCGCTAGAATAATGGATTGGACCAGGAATGAATCGTTCGTAATACTGTTGTATTAAAGATTCAGTGTATCTCATTAATAAAAATATTACATGTCAGTTAATTTTATTTTTTTTCTGTCAAATTTTTTTTCTCTCTTCTGATGTATATTGTTTTCATTGATGAGATGTACTGAATCTTTGTATAACAGTGATACCAAAGATTTATTCCTGAACAAGTCAAATACAAGGAAAAATAAAATACTCTACACAATAGGTGGAATTTGACCTTACCTATTGTACCGGTCACCCTCACGAGTCATGTCATGGTTTTTCATATTTTGTTCAAGTCCACTACGACACCGCCAACATAACTTGAAGAATGAAAACTGTTTTTTTTTTTTTTGAGATAGAAGAACGAAAACTTTAAACAAAAGATACTATAGTAACGAATTTTTTTAAATATAATAAAAACTACCTAATGTGTTAAAAATATGAAAAGTGGATATTTAAATCAAGGTCTCATCCTGTACAGTATCATCTGAGGTGCGTCAACTTTATTAGTCAATTATATAATTGATACATTTTTAAAATGGTGACAACTCAGAATTAAATTAAAATTTAATTTATATGAATTTTTATCGTAAAAAAATATACAATTATTAAGGGATAAGAGGTATAAAATAATAAGTTTTATCCCAGATCTCAAACATTAATTTATATATATTTAACGATTATAATATGTTGAATCATTCTCATTAATTATCAATTGTTAATAATAATAACTATTAAATATACGAAAATTAATAATTAATAAATTTATCAATAATAGATTATTAAACAAAAGTATTTTTTTTTTTTATATTTAAAACACCTCAAAGTCTAACTCCTTAAATTGTAATAAAGGAGTTGCTTAGATGCATAAAAACAAACTCTAATATCCATATACTTATTTACCCTTTCGGCTTAAATCTAGAAAATGTAATTACACCGGAAAACACGGTGGCGAAAAAAATGTATCCTTGGCTTTCACTTTTCAGTTTCTTTTTTAATTTTTCTTCTTCTCTTCTTCTTCTAATTCTCCGTCTATCTCTTTGTACTATTAAGTTGAACAAGTGGGAAGAAGACATAAACAAGAAAGAAACTTCAAACTTTGAAAACGCAAACACTTGGGAATTTTCTTCCTTCTTTGTATCCTCACCACTGTTACTACCACGACTTCAAATACAAACCCCTCTTTCTTTCTTTCTTTCTTTCTTTCTCTCTCTACATTTTCCCGAGAAAATCTCACCAGGTAAAACGATTCTGTCACTCTCCTTACTTCGCTTTAAGTTCATCATCGCTCCTAACTCGTCACTCTTCAACATTGTGATTCTTCTTGCTTTTCACCCTCCTCTTTGCACTTTGATTCTTTCTATTTTTGCTTCTTCTTTTTTTTGTTCGAGATTCTTTGTTGATTTCTGGCACCGTTCGATCTGTGTGATGCTGTGTTTGCTTGCTTTGCACTCAGATGCTAAGCTATGCTGAAGAATTCGTTCTGAAATTAGTTGCTTTTTTTTTTTTTGTTGAAGTTTAGTGCTAATTACTGTTTATGATTTTATTTTTGAAGTTTTTTTTTTCTTGCTATTTTGATTGTGATTCGTGCTTCTTCTGTCTCGTCGAGAGCAGCGAGTTGAGGAAGAAGCTCAAACACAACCGCCTTTGCCTATATATATATATATATATATATATATATATATATATATATATTGTCCTTTTAGATTTTTAAGCGGATTTGACACTGAATTGATATTAAGCGAAACAATGGATGGAGTAAGATCTAAGCTCAAATCGATAATAATTGATTGAAGGAGCCATTTACTGGTTCTTGGTTATTTGGTTATATTTAATTCATCATTTGTGATTTCGGTTGAGTTTCTATTTTGTCTGTGGTGTTAATGTTATAAACCATTTAGTGTTGTTCTTGTTCCCTTAAGTATTCTGATTTCGATATGATGCGTTCTAATTATGATATCGGTTACAATGCAAATGGACCAATTTTTATAAATTTCGAAATATTGTGTTCCTGTGTTGACCAAATGGCGGTTTTCCAGGGGAGGGCATTGACTGTTGACCACTTATTTTTCTTTTTTGGTAGGCAACCACTTATTTATTGCTGCAATACTAAATTCGAAGTGGAAACATTTTTATTCAGTAAAATGCTGATAGGAGAATTACCAATAAAAAAAGCTGATAAGGAATATGTAAATATTTTCCTTTGCTGATTTTAGCAAATGAATAGCTGAAGCCATAATAAATCTGCAGTTTGTATTGGAAAAAAACTGTGATCCATATCACTTTAAGGGGGTATAAAAATTCAACTGTTCTTGAGAAGTTTAAATTTACTCACTATTGATGGACTTGGTATAACTGATATCATATGTACTACATAGTCAAGGATTCTTTCCCTAGAAAATTGTACATTTTTTTTTAAGTTATTATAGTATTTATTTGTGGTGTTTGCCTGCAATTGTAAGTGTTAGTTTCCTAACAAAAAGAAGGTTCTTCAAGTGAGAACAGATCATATACTTGCTTTTGTTTTGTATTTATCTTTGACAGAACATTGTGCTTGAGTTGTTTTATGCACATCGGCTACAGTATTTAAAAGCATAATTTTGTTAGCATACCAAAAAAAAAAAACAAGCATAATTTTGTTAACTTATTGCTCTGAATACAGGCCCAGCATGCTAGCCGAATATCATATTCTTTCCAAATAATTCTCGTGGTGGATATCTCATCATCCAGAACATGCTTCCAAAGGCTGATAGTTGGTACTTGGTACTTGATATCAGTTAGTTAGCTGACTAAAAGAAAGAAGTGAATTTTCAATCCTTATAGGCTTCTACCTACTTTTGCTCCACAATTACGACAAGTAGTTATATATGAAAGACAATGATCAATGAAGTAGTAGTTTGGTGTCCTTATGATCAACTACCTTGAAGGTGCAGGGATATTGCTTCATGCATAGAATCACCAAAATGAAGAAATTATATGGAGGAGTTCTGATTGCCTCATTGTTTATGTTGTTTATGCTTATGATCCTGCGATATGGGGTCGTGAAAAATCCAATTGGTGAAGGTTATCTGACCATACCTGTCTCCATTAATGGTACCAATCCTCTAGAATGGATAAACCCTGTAGTTCCACCTGCTATTCAAAATCCGGGTGGTGCTTCTCGAGTTATTTCTTCTGATATTTTAGTCTCTAGCCTCTTTGCTGGGAGAAACTTTTCCAAAGAAGAGCAACAAGCTCTGCAGACGTGGAACCAATTGAAAAACTTAATTAATCATGGTCAGGGTTTGCCTAATGCAGCAGAAGCTATCAAGGAAGCTGCTGGTGCATGGAATAGTCTTATATCCTCAATTGAAGAGCAAAGACAAGGTCATGCAAATGATAGTTCTAGAACAAAAGAGAAACAGTGTCCCCATTATCGTAATGAGATGAATACCACTGAACTTGGTAATAGTAGTTACAAACTGCAAGTACCTTGTGGCCTGACACAGGGTTCTTCCATCACTGTAATTGGCATTCCAAATGGTCTTCTTGGTAATTTTCGGATCGACTTGACTGGAGAACCACTTCCTGGGGAGCCTGATCCCCCAATTATTTTGCACTATAATGTTAGGCTTCATGGTGATAAAATCACTGAAGATCCAGTAATTGTCCAAAACTCCTGGACAGTAGCTCATGATTGGGGTGAAGAGGAACGTTGTCCTTCTCCCACTCCTGAAAAGGTTAAGAAAGGTGGAAATACTATTCTCATTATTTGGTTCAAAATCTATAGGAATTCATGTTCATCATAATTTAAATCAAAGTAGTTCTCATGATTCGGAAATCAAATTTCTTAAAATTTGAGCCCTGTGACTTCTAAAGAGTGTCTGTTCTATAACAGAATTGGCAAGACTGGATTCTTTAATTAAAGAGACTCTTTTTTATAACTTAGTTTTCTTATGCTATTGATGTCGGAGGACAGTTTCAACAGAATTGAATCCTTTCCTCATGAAAATCAATTGTTTGACAAAAGATATATCTAATTTTATCTTCTCCTCTGCTTCTGCTGTATTAAATTGTAGTGCTAAAGCTTTATCTGCAAGGTTTTTGCTGATCCAGAAGTTGTGTATAATTCCATGAAGTGCTTTTGCATAACTACTTCTAACTTCATTTATTTAATATTGCTGTTTCTTTTGCCAGTTGATGAGTTGGAGCAGTGCAATAAGATTGTTGGGAAGAACATTAGCCAACTTTACATGGCCAGCATGTATTCCCACACTTCAAGGCGATTTTCAGCAATAGAAGAACAATCAGCAAATAGAAAATACTTTCCTTTTAAGCAAGGTTACCCATTTGTTGCAACTCTTAGAGTGGGATCAGAGGGAATCCAGATGACAGTTGATGGAAAACACATAACTTCATTTGCTTTCCGAGAAGTACTTTCTTTCTCTCTTGATTTTTGATTTTTTTTAATACTAAAATGTTGAATACTTGTGTGTTTTAGTGTGTTGACTGACTTAGCTTGTTACAATTCAGACTTTGGAGCCATGGCTTGTCAGTGAGATAAAAATTTCAGGGGACCTCAAGTTAATATCTATTCTTGCCAGTGGTCTGCCCACATCAGAGGATTCAGAGCATATCAATGACCTAGAGTCATTGATATCAAGTCCTATATCTGCACAGACCCCATTGGATCTCTTCATTGGTGTTTTCTCTACCGCCAACAATTTTAAGCGTCGGATGGCTGTTAGAAGAACCTGGATGCAGTACAAAGTAGTTCTATTAAATACAACAGCTGTGCGATTCTTTGTTGGTTTGGTGGGTATTGCTTATGAAGTTGTGATCTCTTCACATGATTCTAAAAATTAGTAGAATTGGGGAAAAATCACTTCATTAAATTATTATATAAAATTATAATTTCTCAATCTTTTCATGAATTGGTGGTCTTCAAACTTTGAGCTTATCTCATTAATCAGAAAAAGGTGTTTATATTTATTTCTATTGGAGCATGTTTTCATTATCTTTGCACTATCTTTGCCTTTTCATTCTGATGAAAATCAAGATGAACATGATATTTTGCTACTTTTCAAAATTCTCTGTTAAAAGTGTTACATGTAGGTTTTTGCTGAAGTAGGCCTTGTGTTTGAGTTGATGCAGCATAAAAGCCAAATAGTTAATGAAGAATTGTGGAAAGAAGCACAGACGTATGGAGACATACAGTTGATGCCATTTGCTGACTACTATAGCCTCATCACCTGGAAAACTTTAGCAATCTGCATTTTTGGGGTAATGTCTTGTCTTTTCCTTTGACTTCGGGAATCCTTCCTCTGTCTCACTGACATGATCTCTTCAACAGACAGAAGTTGTTTCAGCAAAGTTTGTCATGAAGACAGATGATGATTCATTTGTTCGTGTAGATGAAGTGCTAAGCTCTTTGCATAGGATCAATGTGGCTCATGGATTACTGTATGGACTGATCGAGTCAGATTCCCGACCTCATCGAAATACTGATAGCAAATGGTACATCAGCCCAGAGGTAGAGATACCCTCATATAAGAATTAGATCTCACTCGTTATGTGTTGTTTGTATTATTAATTTCTGATTATAACTGTTGAGAAATATAGTCTCAGTTGTATGGGCAACTAATATGAAGTTTATAAGGCCTTGAGCACTCCCACCCTTTGAGCTAGCTTTTGGGGTGGTGTATCCCAAGGTTCTTTACATGGTATCAGAGCCTCGCCGTCCCCCACTTTCTCTCGTGGAATTTCTTAGCACAGGTAGGATGGGCCTGTTGCATTATCCACTCTTCAAGCCCAATGGACTCTCGTGTGAGGAGGCGTGCTGAGATATATAGTCCCACATTCGTTGGATGAGCAACTAATGTGAGGTTTATAAGGCCTTGAGCACTCCCACCCTTTGAGCTAGCTTTTGGGGTGGTGACCTCAAGGTTCTTTACAATAAGAGATAATTTTAACTCGTCTATGCACGTTTCCGTTATTTTTTTTTTTTTTTTTTCCCTTTAAAATCTGTATTTAGCACCAGGTTTCCTTTTTTAGCTATTCGCTACTTAAAGTTATTGCCTTCATTTGCTTTGTCTTTTTCATTTGCCTCTTGTTTTTGCTGTCTTTTTTTGGATGCTTACTTTCAACTAACTTATGATTATCTTATTGCCTGATCCGCTAAAGGAATGGAGCGAAGGAACTTATCCTCCTTGGGCACATGGTCCCGGCTATGTTATCTCACATGATATAGCAAGGACAGTATATAAGAAGTACAGAGATAACCATTTGAAGGTATATAATAAAATCCTTTACTTGTTGAAAACTATTTGTAAAGTTGCTAGCAGGCTGTAATGTGTTTTGTACAAACGCATTGGTGACATCTGTGAACACTCAATGGCCATTTTAACACTATCTAGCAGATGTTTAAATTAGAAGACGTTGCAATGGGAATCTGGATCGCAGACATGAAGAAGGAAGGTCTAGAAGTTCGGTATGAGAATGAGGTCAGAGTCTTTAATGTGGGTTGCAAGGATGGTTATGTGGTTGCCCATTATCAAGGTCCTAGGGAAATGCTCTGTTTGTATCAGAAACTTCAGGAAGGAAAAGGTGCAAAATGCTGTGGTGATAGGAGGCGATTGCTTGAACTTAACTAACCAGGGTTAGCTTGTATAATAATTAGAATATGGTTAGCCTAGCAAGAAATTATTAGAAATAGTTGATATTAGGGCATATTTGTAGTCATAAATCCGTTTAAGTAAATCTGATGATTGTTCAATGTAGAGAGGGAGAGATTTGTATAGAGCCACCAATCGGAAATAGGTTATCAAATTTTCTCGCACCTGATTTAATTTTTTGTATGGGAACAAATCATTGTAGAAAGAAACCTCAAAATTTTAACAAATATTTTTATGCCTCTATGGAGATAGTTTTACTATTCTTTACTGGAAGTGTGACCATGAAGAATTCTTACAGCTTTTATTGGAATTGTAGCATCTCATCAAGTAACTTCTCTCGCTCAAATCCAGTGAATTTTTTTTATCATAAAGTCAAAATCGTTGTTATTTGTGACAAATGTTATCTCATCAATAACAACTGAGCATGTGTACTCTTTTTATATCGATATATCATTAAATAAAGAAAAAGCAAATCTATAAACTAACATTTCTCCATATTTGAACAAAATGCTACAAGATCCTTGGAGCAGAGCACTAAAAATATTCAAGGTCTGATGCATCCTTTTTTACACGTAGTATTTGGCTGCAACTTTGCGCCATGGGTATATTAGACTTTACGATTTAAAAACGTGTAAATGACCTCTAAAATTTGCACTTTGTCCACTAAACCCTATTACATCGAGCAAATTATCTATACGCAGAGTGTACAAAAATGTCATGTGATTTATATTGCACACCATTAAAACATTTTTTTGGTTAGGAAAAAATTTAAGTGACACTAGTATCCCATTGGGGTTAGAGGATTTTCAGAAGGGATAATATATCACCCACCAACAAAGTCAACGGAATTTGAACTCACGTCTTTGTTGAATATGGACCAAATCCTTAGTCAATTGTGTCTAGGAGTGTAAATGGGCTAAGTCGGCCTGCAGGGGTCTACGTTCTAGCCTATATCAGGCCAAACTTGACCTGTTACAAATAGAAAAATAGAATAAGCCTAGGTTTTAAAAAAAAATCTATTTAGAGAATAGGCCACAAGTTTTTTTTGTATACATCGGGCCTATAAGCTTACAGGCCGGCCTATATCATATTATTTATTTTAAATAAAATAAATAAAATTATTATTTTAATAATTTTGAATAATAAACTAATATTATTTTATTTATTCTTTTAATTATTGATTGTTTAATAGGCTTAAACAGGCCTAGATCAAGAATTTTATTTTTTAAATATAGGTCAGATCAGACTTGTAATTTGGGACCTACACAAGCTAACAAGTCAGGTTATATCTGATATTTTTTACACAGACCTGACCTATTTAAGCCAAAGCCTAGCCTAGCCTGTGAAGAGAGAGAGAGAAAAAAAACTCTATAAAAAATGTATTATACAATATAACCAAAATAGCATTTACAAAATCTAACATCCGTGTTTGAAAATAGGATTAGTTATATGATAATATAAATAAATAAAAATACGTTGCTCGACAACGGTACGTGGCAGAATACACTCAATCACTAGAGTCATCCATGTGCCGTATTGGAATCCTTCAAGTTGTCGACAACAAAATAAAAAAATAAAAAAAATTCCTTCTAGTTGCCTTAAGACTTTAAAATAGAAATAAATGTTCATACAACTACAGTTCCATGTCTTTAGCATGCCCTAGGAAAAGGCAAACTATAACTTGGTAATGAAAATCATCACAAACACTAATAAAGCTGAGAGCATGGATGAAATATGAGTACCCTACTTTGTATACAATCTTGAAGTTGTCAAAATGACAACTGACGAAATAATTTAAGGATTTTATAATTCTCATTCAACATGAGAATTAAATTTTTCTACACACCCTTCGATTTATGTGCTGACATGGGTTTTACATATAATTTTTTCTAACACATGAGTCTCACATGCTTTTTATCTCTACAACATAAGATTTCAATTCTCATTCAACATGAGAATTATAAAACCCATAATTTAAAATTTAAACACAACTATTCTCTTATTTTTAAAAACACACACATATATAATATTGTGTATTAATTATTATAAATTTTACGGGGAAAGCAAGGAAGGGGAGAGTTAGTAAGAAAGTTGCTCCACCAACTGTTTTTTTAAATGGAAGATATATCATAAACACTCAAATCGATACTTAATTTATCTAATGCTGTTTCAATTAAAGATGATAAAATGAGTCTAATCCATTGGGTCAATCCGTTTAGCTCATTTAATTGACCGGTTGAGTTATAATATTAGAACCGTTAAATCGTCACAATTTATGCGTTCGATACGGATCGAAAAAAGTTGACCCATCGAATTTTTTTTATTTTATAATTAGTAATACAATTTATGCGTTGATTAGTAGTACAATATATAAGTTACACGAATACACCTTACTTTTCATAGAGTTCTAAACCCTAAACAATTTTTGCATAATCGGTTAGTTATTTTTGTTTAACAATCAGTTTGGTATTGTGAGAACATAATATCACTGGTCAAAATAATGCATATAGTCTATGGGCAATTAGTTTCTCACGTTGGAGGAGAAACTAATTGCCACCTGCATATACATAAAAGATTGTGCTAGTATCTCTTAAAAAAAATTTGTGTATCCCGCAATTTTTTCTCGGTCTACAAAAGACCTTTAGGGCTGTTTGGTAGGTGGTTTTTGGCAGGATTTCTGAAAAATTAATTTTTTCTAAATTTTAAATTTTCGGATATTATTGTAAACTGAATGTAAAAATTATATTTTTAAAAATCGAAATTTCTGGACAAAAAAAAATTTCTCCTCTACCAAACGCCCCCTAAGATGCCTTTGGTATGAGCTTTTTGCTTGAAATATTGGGAAAGTGGGGGAAGGAAATTTTTTTTCCATGTTTGGAATGGGTAAAATCAAAAATAATCCCAGAAAATTTTTATCCCTGTCATTTTATTTTTAATTACACGTTCCTAACAAATAATACCAACTCAACCGTGGGTTTTTTTTTTTCCACGTACTCGGAATCGCACAACAAAGTTTGGAGACTCCCTCTTTCAATATATCTCAAGAGATGTGTAAAACCTTGTTCTTCAAACCCTCATACAACCTTGTTCTTCGTCTTTGTCAAGGAAGCCCTCCATTATCCATTACTGTAGATTCAATGAAAACGGTGGACAAACCAAATGTTTTCTCAAAGTTCATTTGTGAAATTAGCATTTACCTCTCATACTCACAATAATCTGCAAGAAAAAGAAAATAAACCAGAAGAACATTTCTCATTGAAGATTCTGTTGTGTGTTTAAGTAAATTAGGTTAACAAAATTAAATGTGCTTACTTTCAATCTCCCTGAGGTTAAAAATGGCAGCATCAAGCTCTTCCCTCTTTGCATCTCTATAAAACTTCGATACATAGGTAATTTTGTAAAACGAACGTCGAAAACAAATATTCAAACACATGGCTAATTTTGTAATTTCAGTCTAGATTTTCACAAATTTTTTACGACCAACCAAACATAGCATTAGAAAAATAATTCAACATTTTCGGCAAAAATTTTGGCATACCAAACACATTTTCATAATTTGTCCGGAAAAAAAATTCTCATTATATTCCCGGCAATTTTTTTTCCCCGATAAAAGAAATATATCTCCTCTACCATACAGTCCCTTAGTCTATCTAAAAATGTTCTCCTTAATCTTTTTGAAGGTCAAGAGCAAATATTGTGATTGATGGACTTCACATGATTTTCACATAATACAAAGGAGGTTTTTCAAATAATAGTTACATCTTTTGTCCCATAAATTTCTAGTTCTATTTTTTGATATTTTCACATACATACTTATTTAATTTGATTAAATATTTTGATATGTTTAATATTATTTTATTTTTAAAAAATTATTTTTTTATTATTTAAGCGGATGGATCCGGGAACAATCACAAAATGAGATGGATTAATATTTTGAACCAATTTACAGAAGACAAACCAACCCACCCGGTCCCTTTTTGATGGATTGCTACTCTAGTTTAAATCATATTAAAAAGGTGTAATGTTTCTTTGGAGATAATTTTACCTCCTATAGATACATAAAAATATATGAAATTCATATTTTTTCTTTTTCTCTTTTATGTGTGTAGAGTTCATATTTTCTCTTTCTATCTTCTCCGCACATGATCCCCACATAGGTTCCACGTGTATACAAGATAAAATTATCTCCTATAAAATAACAAACTTTAAACCCTATTAAAATTGCGCTTATCTTTAAAGAATGACTTTGCACTTCTCAATTGATGATTTATGATTGGGCCACCAAAGAACTTTTCATTTTCGAACTTGGATGGGCTGGAAGGCTGTAACGGACGTTATTTATTCTAAGGGTATATTTGTTGAGTAAGGAGAAAATTTTGAAATGAAAATAATTTTACAAACTTAGTATACAAATGTCATGAAAAAAAATAAAAAAATGATTGGTTCTTATTGCTGGTTCCGACAATTCAACTAAGCTAAATGAAAGGTGTATCACAGCTAGGATGAAAGAGAGAGAGAAAGAGAGAATAAGAAAGAAAGAAATAGAAAACGTGAAAGTGTCTCTTGTATTCTGAATTGTTAAATCTTTACAAAGGGCTCTTATCTTATATATACAAAGATAGGATATGATCAGCTATTGTACATATGTAACAGACTAACTAATAGTTTGTTATAACTGAATTGAATCTGTAACTGAATCCATTGGGCCTATTGGGCCTCTATGACTATCACTAAACACACAGTAAAATGCATTTTCTCGAACGAAATAAAAAATGGAATAAAAATGTCCAAACAAGAGCGAGTTACAACGCAGGACATAACATATCAAATGGGTTGCAACACTGTACTTGTAATTTCACAGCAGTTCATTCAAGATTATATATCAGAGCTTATTATTACTCTTTTCATAATTTATGTTCAGAAGATGGACGGATGTGACTTTTCAACCCTCGTTTGCAGGACCAGGCAATCATGAGTCCGCTGGGATGGAAGAAACATGTATTGCAAATAAATGGAAGAAACATGTATTGCAAATAAATGAGAAAAGTGTGTATCATTTTAAAGGATGTAAAGTTGTGTCATTTCAAGTAAGAGTAAGAGATAGATAAAAAAAAAAAAAAGAGTGGACAAATAAATATAAAGGTGTGGATCCCACCTCTTTGTGAGAGTGAAAGAATATATATTATGTCGTCTAAAAGGATAAACGTTTTTTCCTAAATAAATTCATTCAAACATGCAAATTACTTCATCAAGTCCATAACATTCGGGCCCTTGATTTTTCAAAGTTTTTCTTATAGTAATGATCAATCACGTGAGATTTGCAACTTGCTATTCTAGAAAAGCGATCATGTCCTACTTAATAACATTGGAGTACTTCATATTTTCCACAAAAAGAGCAGCAGCAGCAATTACAGTCTTACAGAGCTATCTTGGCAAGAATCCATAACTAGAAATGGCAATCTCAAAGGCGTCTAGCCTTTGTCCACGACCGTAGCCATTGCGATCATAGGATGATATTTCATTTATATTAAGATCAACACAGGTTTTGACAAGTGCCTCCCCAACATGCTGAGCAGCTTCCTAAAATCATGTTATGCCAAAACAGAACAAATCCAAAGCCAAAGCATAATGAGACCCCCAAAAAAAAAAATCCAGAAAGGGAAAATTGTTGCTTTCCCTGTCTCAGGCAATACTTGTCGATAAGATAGTGTGGATTACTTACAACAGTGCTACATGGGGGATTTTGTCTGAATGACTTCTGCAGCGTGCTTCCATAGAACAAACACTTCTTATTTTCGTCATCTACAAGCATTGCATACAATTGCTTATCTGAGCAAAATACTGAAAGCCTTGGATGTTTAGCCGTTCCATTAAACTGAAAAAAGAATGATAAAATCATGGTACTAAAAATAGATGGGGCAGAAACTCGGTACTTAAGCAGTTAGCAGTGGAGTGCCATATAACTGAAGGAGCTCGACAACTTAGTTTGATATTTCTTTATCAGTGCTGCAACAGCTTGTCACTTGTAACATAATTTAAGCAAAACATAATATATGTATGTATCTATATATTAATCTACATGATACGACTCATAGAAAGGAGATGGAGTTCACAGAATGAATTTACTGAAATATGCGGCTAAGTAGGAAAAAATGGGATGCCAATGGTCACATAGAACAAGCTAAATGACATGCAAAATATGTAGAAATGTATGGAAATATAAAATGTGTCCGCAGAACACCTTAACCATGCAAAGACATGACGAAGGGTGAAGGTATAACAAAGACATAATACAATCAGGATAGCTATTTTTCTCAGAAGTCATACCTTTTTTAGCATCCTTCTGTTCCGAATTTTTGCACTTTCTTTTCTGGTGTTTGCCCTGGCTTCAATCACAAATGGTTTCCTAGTTAAACCTATAAGAAAATTGAAAGTTCACATTAATCCATATCAAAAGTCACATTCAACATAATATCAACGTATAGATAATATATAACTAACTCCATAGGCATATTGCTAGTATCAACATTATAAAGTCAAATTCCATAGATGCTGTATTGCACTGGACCGGGTAAGAGACTAAAATCTCAAGCAAACAACCAAAAATGCCAAGAAGAAAATAAACTGGGCAAGATTAAGTTCTGCTTAACTTACTTCTACTTTGTGTCTGAAAGCAAATAAACGATTTTAGGTGGATTCCAAAGACAGCAGAATTCTTAAACTGTAGCCCTAGGGCATTCACTTGAGCCATATTGTACAAGTCTCAAGCACTATGTGAGCTGTGAACCCCAAAACTTAAGTCACAAATACATTAGCAAGAACGGATTCCTTACAGGAAATCTAACAAACAGTTAATGTGCATGCTCCATAAAGACAGCAATTTTGTTCTTTTGGGTTTGACATTGAAGGAAACAGTGAACAGAGATATGTTAAATTCAAAACGCAGTGAAAGTCCAGCTATGTTGGAATTTTGTTGGTAATTTCAATTGGGTCTTGAAATGATAGAATAATTGTACTTCTAATAATGAAGGTTTCTTGGAGAAGGTGGTTTGTTTTGTTGTATTCTTGTTCTTGAGACGTGTTGGTTCGCAGAGGTTTCAGGTCGCGGAAATTTTAATAATATTTGTTTACCCGAGGATATTGTAACAATCAAGTTGTGTTACTACCAATCAATCTCACCGTTAGATCGATTATGTTGATCCAATGGTTATATTTATTTCCATCTTTGTATTGTATAGTAGTAATACAATTGATCTAACGGTAAGATTGATTAGTAGTAAAACGATAGTAACACAACTTGTTACAATATTCTTCAGTTTATTTAATATTTATAAAAAAAATTATGACAAAGTCATGTGAAATATTACATGAAAGAATCTATTATCACTTTTTATGGAAATAATTCCTGCTGAAATTTCACATAATAATAAGGTCACACGAAAATTTTGTATTTATATTTGTTTATAAATATTCAAAAAATTTGATAAAATTTTATCCTATGTAACATTTATAGGAAAATAAATACAACAATTTCATACAATAAGATCATATAAAATTTTAATAATAGAACTTACTCCCACTTTTTAAAAACCGATAGGACTTAATATGCGCCATTAGATTATGTAAGGGTTTGATTAGGTAAACATAAATTTACACATTCAAATTTAGTCGTATGCAGCAAGAAATATTATTATAAACTTCATATTCTCAAATAATTCTTGTATTTGATGAAATAATTAAAAAAAAAATGTCGGGAAACAGATGGAAAGTTTGAGATTGTCCAAAATATAAGCACATGCTAATTGCGTATACGAGTTCATTTAGTCGAAGACTCATTTTTTTAATGTGCACCAAATTTTAAGGTTAGGTTGGAACAATTTAAACTTGATGAGATTTGAATTTTTATGTAACAGCTGTTGGCCTCGTCATAAACTTATCTATAAGACATTACCCTATGAAAAGATCGAGTCTACCTAATTACCGTAATTATTGTTGTCAAAATTGAATTTTAATTTAAAGAAAAAATTGGTGGTAAAAATATAAATTGTAGAAATGATATGAAACCTAAAATTTATAGGGAAAGTTCAAAAAATCGATGTGTTATTGTTTTGAATTATTTACACCTATTTTTTTTTTAATTACTTAATTTCCCTATGATTTTTTCATCCTCCTCCTCTTTAACACCGTTTGAAATTTGATTAAATATATCTATTTTGCTCTTCTTTAAAAAAGAAAATAAAGTGATAAAAAATTATGTAAATTTAGAACACTTAATAAAAGACAAAAAAAATCAAATGTGTCAAAATAAAAAAATAGAATAAAAAATAAGGTAAAATTTGTTTAAAATTATAACAATGACAAAAAAAATTCAAATTAAAAAAAATTAGTCCAAATGAAAAAAGACGAAAAAATTTAAGATGAAAAATAAAATAAAAAAGAAATAAAACAAAAAGAAATCACAATTATGAGTTTTCAATATATTTAGTTTTTTTTGTTCTTGATCTATTTTATTTAGATACGTTAGTCGTTAGGCCTTTTTTATATTTTTATATTTTTTATTTATTTAATTCTGATTTTTCTCTCTCTTTTTTTAGCCTTGTGCCACCCTATCTACTAATGATTTTTATAAAAAAAAATTTAAAAAGAGAGAGAATAAAATAGAGATATAAAAAACATCAAACATATATAAATAAAAAGAATAAAATAGATCAAACATATATAAATAAAAAAAATAAAATAGATCAAAAAGATTAGATTATTAAAATTTTGGATTTAGTGCTTTAGTTGTAGACTAGTTTCTGTTTGTTTGTTCTGAGCGTTAGCCTTTTATTTACTAAAAAAGAGAGAAAAATAGATCAAGGATAAAAATAAAAAATTAAGAAACCAAATATATTGAAAATTCAAAACTACGATTTTTTTATTCTATATTTTTATTTTATTTTTTATCTTAATTTTGTCTTCTATTTTTTTTGTATTCAGGATATTTAATTTCTTTTAGAGAATTTTTATTTTTAATTTTAATTTTAGTTTTTCGTGTCACTATTTTAATTTTTAACATATTTAATCTTATTTTTTCTTCAAATTTTTTTATTTAGACACTTTTGATTTTTTTTTTCTTTTAGTCTTTTATTAAGTATTTTAAGTTTTTATAAAATTTGATCTTATTTTTCTTCTTTTATCACTTTATTTTTTCATCTAAAAAAGGTAAAGTAGACATATTTAATCAAGTTTCTAACAGTGATAAGTAGGGGATAGATAAAAAAAATGTAGGAAGTTAAGTGATTAAAACGATTATTAAGTTGTAAGTAATTCAAAGGAATAACATAAGGAGAATTTCGAACTTTTTCCAAATTTCTATTACTTAAAATCATGATACAAAATTACACACGCGCACGTACGCATGCACGAACATACACGTGTGTGTGTGTATATATATATATCACATGTGTCACTATTTAAAATTCAATAAATAACTTCATATTTAAAGAATATTTTTTATTCAATTATATAAGACATAAATTTAAAATAAAAAAAGAGAAATTGAGTTTAAAAAAATGGAAAAAAAGAATTAAAAAAATGGAAAAAAAGATTTAAAAAAAAAAAAATTTAGTTTAAATAAAACTTGCATTTCTATTATTTTTATGTTTATATATGACATTTTTACTCATTTTTATTGAGAAGCATTTTTTTACTTATGTTTTAATTTATTTTTAGCTAAGTTTTTATCGTTTCTACATTGCAACGATCACCGTAACTTCTGAACAGAACTAGATTAGATTTTGGCAACGATCACCGTAACTTCCGGACAGAACTAGATTTTATAACATTCAAGCAAAAACTCATTTTAAATTCAAACATATCAACGTTATTGGCCATCCAGCTGTCAAAAAATTAATGATTGTGAATTAATTAAGTGAATTGAATATACTACAAAGCATTTTTGTTTTGTCCTTTAACATGATACAAAAAAATTTCTTACACACACACCATTTTTTGTAGGGTACACAATTTTTAAAGAAAAAAAAATTAAGGCACGTAAAACGAATTTCTATAATATTACACAGTCACTTTTCCTACGTCATAACTCTTATAAAACCCTACTAAGTATACAAAAACAATGTATATCATAAGCCATAACATCACACATGACAAGACTATTATCATTTGATAAAAATAGTAGATTATTCATAATCACAAATGTTGAATTCCACAGTTACTGCCATACTCACAATGTTACCTCATAACTGCCTTAAATATTTTGGTCTGATGTAAAGGATAGTGATTGGATTTTGAAGATAAACATAACACATGTACCTCCGAACATGTTCCAGATCCTTCCACAACATTCTTTTTTTAATCAGTGGGCGCACACCTTCTCCCTTCTCTGTTTTCCTTTATATTCATTCCATTTCCAACTTCCTCCATTCTAATAATTTCCAATTCTTCTAAATTCTGCAATACACTCAATCTTTTTTCTCTTTCTCTCTCTCTCACACACAAAAGGTCGTTTTTTTAGTGTTTTGGAATTGAAGTGATGGCTTCTGATGCTGAGGTTTCTGAGATTTCCTCTCTGTTTGAAAGGATGGTGAGAAACAGAGACATGTCTCTGTTCTTGCCCTTCATCTTTGGCTTCTCAGACTCTTCAACCAGAAGAGATAGTGAAGACCCAGATCAGGAAACTGAGAGTGCTGAAGATTCTCAGCGTGAAAGAATCATCTTGGTGAACCCCTTCACTCAGGGCATGGTGGTCATTGATGGTGCTTCAAGCCTTGAGGCTCTGTTCCGTGAGCTTGGGAATAGTACCAAGGGTGGTCAACCACCTGCTTCAAAGGAATCCATAGATGCTATGCCAAGTGTTGAAATTGGAGAAGGTGAAGATTTGGAGTGTGTTGTTTGTCTGGATAATTTTGAGGTTGGTGGGGTGGCTAAAGAGATGCCTTGTAAGCATAGATTTCATACCAATTGTATTGAGAAATGGCTGGGGATTCATGGGTCTTGCCCTGTTTGCAGGTATGAGATGCCTGTTGATGAGAAAGATGTGGGCAAGAAGAGTGATGAAGAAGGGGGAGAGAGGAGGAGGGTTGGTGGAGAAGTTTGGGTTAGTTTTTCTTTCAATAGGGATAGGAGAAGCCAGGATCCAAATCAAGATACTTCTGATGATTCAAGTGATTCTTCAAGTCATAGAGGTGATGCTGAGCCAGAGAGTTAAAGGAGTATATTTTTTTGTTAGAACGTTGCTTTTCAATTTGGTGAAGATTATGTACAGGCACAAATGCACAAAATTGTTATCATATGTTTTGGGAATAAATAAGTTGGTGATTTATTTTTTTCTCATCTCCTAATTCTTTCCAATTTAATATTATTACTAGTATGGAGTATGGTTATAAGTCAGAATTTTACATCATTTTCCAATTTAATATTTTTTGGATTGAAAAGTTAATATAACGAATTTAGAGGGGAATGAAATAACTCTACATCTTAAAAGTAGAATTGTGATTTTCAAAGTACACTCTGTTAAGTGTTCAAAAAAAATAAAAAAATAAGTACACTCTGTTAGGCTCCTAAGTGCTGCCTTATTTTTTTTTTACACGCTGATTTTGCATAATAACAGATGATCAAAAAAGTTTATTATGTGTTTTCTTTGGCATTGAAGCCAGAAACTGTTTCCCTTTTTCTGAGAATCTTGATTCCTTGGTACCTTCCTAGCATCAGCAGAGTAGCCATTGGGTTTGTGCCTGGTGACTCTGAAAAAGTTGAGCCATCCAATATTCTCAATCCCTTTACGCCATAAACCTTGTAGTGCATATCAACAACCGATCCAACCGTGCAACCCCCATGATAATGATAGATAGTTCTTACATTTTGCTTGCAAAATTTTCTCAGACCAAACTCAGTAGATGTCAACTTGTTTTGCTTTGACTCTCCAAGGAAAAATGCAATAGACTTGGACCTTGCAATTCGATTAAGTAGTTGAGTCATCTTGACACATTCTTCCATATCCTTTTCGCTTGCTAGATAGTTGAACCTCACAGAAGGGTTCAGCCTGGGGTCTGTGTTATTCAGTTCAAGCATCCCTTTTGAAGATGGCAATGCTATCTTGGCAGCAACATTAACCCTTGTTGCATTGGAACTTAGGGGAATTATTGATGCTTCAACTATGATTTTCAAGTCATCTGTTATGCCAGCAATTTGTGGTGGATCAGGAAGCCTATTTTGTGGCTTAGAATCCACCAAGATTGCTATGCAGGGATTGTCTTGCATTCCTTGACCAACCCCTTTCATGTCAAGCACTAGTGGAATGTTGAACCTTCTCAGTTGTTCTTTTGGTCCTATTCCGCTTAGCAGCAGAAGTTGGGGACTACCCAATGCACCTGCTGCCAATATGACATCACCCCTTGAACTTGAATTCTTGGGTTTTCTGATGTAGGCTTCATAGGTTTCATCTAAGCTTCCATTACTCTGGATGAACCTCACACCCTTAGCTCTAGTTTCATTATTGTAACCTACAGCATTTGAGTAATCAAAATTCAAGAATGACTGAAAAGTTCTAATGTTAACCACCTATTAAGCTAGTTATAGAGAAGTTTTTTTTTTTTTTTGCCCCTTACCATTGTGATGAAAGATGATACTCTTCACTGTGACATTTAGAAGGACTGTGAGGTTCTTTGGATTCCCTGCATCTAGAAGGTCAGCTGAGGTGTGTCTCTTTCCAAATACATCAAAAACACTCCCAGAAATCTTGGTTCCCTTGATATGTTCCAAGCTATAGCCATTGTATGGTAAAATTCCTGATTCAAGAAGGCTGAATTCAGCTACAGACTGCCATGGGGAGAGAAAGAATGGTGGGAAGACAACCTTTGATTCCACCCATTCATAAGCTTCTCTGACTAGTTTCTTGTCCCAACCTGCTTTGCCAACAAATTCCTCACTTGCTCTACTGTAAAAGCCCCCGTTTATAGCTGATGATCCTCCAAGAACTCTTCCTCGGACATTGCCAACCCCATCTTGTGAGGTGAAACTTTGTGCTACTGACATATATTTGTCTGTATGAAGTAATGGAAAACCATAGTATCTCCTATCTATGACCAAGGGATTTCCATATGGTGAACCACCTCTTTCTATCAGCAGCACAGAGAATTTCTCAGACAGTGTAGCAGCCAATGGACAGCCACATGTGCCTCCCCCAACTACAATGTAGTCATAAGACTTGCCTGCTACTTCCTTTACATCTGAAGTCATGTGCCATTGTCTGTTACCTACATAGGGGAAGTGCAAATTGAGAAAAAACACACACACAATGTTTCAAGCTCCAAAAAAAAAACAATGAGAGTGAGTTATATAGCTTACCTTGAGACCCTGAAGGGAAAGAGAAGCCCAAATTTGCAAGTATTAACAGCAAAAATGCTGTGAGAAGCTCATGAACTTGTTTACTTTGTGCAAGTTCCATATCTAGAATTGCAATTAGCTAATGCATTGATTTGTGAGTATAGTAAGGGCATGATTTTATTTGGCAATGTGGGCTATACAAATTATTATTTTTCTCTTTGGCTGTTGACACCAATTGATTAAAGTTTACATAGCATCAAGTGTTTAACAAATGCGCATGGCTATAATAATCATTCATTCTTCCTTTGTTGGCGGCAACCGTTGTCTGTTGCGGGAATGATGTTTTTCTCTAACCTTGAATTTCATAGGTGGTTGTGATAAATAGTGTATATGTTCTGTTAAAATAATCCTTTGCATGAATCAAGTTATCACAATTTTATTTATTTATTTTATCATGGAGTTTAATAATTCCATCGAATGAGTTTAAGCAATTTTTTCAAGGGAATATAATTGTTCATGTTGGATGAAGTAATTTTATCTCATGGACATACAAAAAAATTGGTGTAACACTCATCTATCATAAAAAAACTATATTCTCTTTTTAGGATTTTATTAATCTCATGCAATAGGAGATAAGCTCTCTCATGCTATACAGATAATCATGTGTGAGATTCACCCACTTATGGAAAAAAGAAAAAAGATAAAAAAAGTAACACAAAAATTGATATGTGTAAAAGAGAAAAGCGATCTCCTACAACATAAGTGACTATTTTCCTCTCTTTTTAATCCGTGAAATTTCACTTTGTGTGTTAGTCCATGGAGACTTTTATAAACATAAAAAAGTGGAAATCATTACACCGTATGTGCCTGCTTTACAAGCTCCTGTCATAATTGCTTTGAATGGTTGGTGAGGCACAGGACAATCTACCCTACCCTCCATTTTTCTTCCAAAACTTGTTGCTAAGCTTGGGCAACAGGATAACAAATTTCCACCACAACAAATTGGTAATGGCCTAATGGGTACCCACTGGTTTAATTAATCAACCTTCTCAAGACCCCACCTGAAATGAGAGTTGGTGACGTCTAACCCTGATCATCATTCCATTTTTACCTCCAAATTTGAAGTATCTACCCCGATAATTACTTGTTAGAGATTGAATCTTCTCATTTGTGATATAATATGATCATGTGAGATGAGAGGAAATCAATGGTGATGGTATCAGAGAGAGAAAAAAAATATTAGAATAAAAAATGAGAAAAATATTAAGCTAAACAGTTGATCGTGGCCGTTACTCTTTTATCATCATTATCAGTTGAAACAAAGAAGAGGAAATAAACTTAAAACTATATCACATATCCAAATTGTTGACTAGGTAAACATAAATACACAATTAAAAAACAAAGACTGTCATCAAAGTTACAGAAAAAAAAAAAAACATTATACGTTGCAAAGTGTTCCATTCGCAAATATTAGACAAAAAGATTCAAATTAATCTACTGTATTTTTATATTTTTTTATTATTTGGAGGTAATTTGGTGTTTAATTAGGTCGTGTTTTTTTTTTTTTTTTTTTCATTTCTTAAGTGCTTCGTACATAAATGTTAAAAAAACAAAGTTGAAGAAGTGTGCTTTAGAATGTTTTAACACCTTGTTCTTACTGGAGTTAAGTTCAGCTGCTGATGCTGCAGCATCACATGATGCAGAAGCAGCCACACGAGCCAGAACAGTTAACAATTGAAACTGAAACAGTTAGTTGTAAGAGATTGGTTATGAAGTAGTTTCAGCAGTTAGCTGTCAGTTGTAACTCTTTTCATCTTTCTTTTTCAAAATGCTTCTTACTATTGTACGTAGAACTTTTGTATAAAAAGACCACGAGCTCGCAATGTATCATTCAGAATTCATAGCGTGGAATCTCACGTTCGAAACATAAGATTCTAGCGTGGAATTTAAATGGATTTTAGGCTCTTCTACTTCCGTAAAGCGTGAGGGATGTTAAGATTTTATTGCAATATATGTGACTTGAAATTGTTGGGTATGGCTCATACTTCACATGATGATGTTGGCTCTAATTGTCGGGGTCAGCAGAAAGGCAACTGGGGTCCCGCTCTCAGGTGAGCGGGCGGGGATCCGGGGGAGCCGCCCCGGCGGGGGTCCGGGGGGCAGCGCCCCCAGGCCCGTAGAGGCTAGGTAATGTTTAGGCCTCTGTTTCTATTGTAATTTTCTTAGCAGTTTGGGCTTGGGCCCATGAATAACTGCTGTTAGGGTTTCTTGTAATCCTATTTATATTTGCCTTGTAAACCGAGAGACTTGTAACGAGTGGCGATGAGGTGAATATAGTACAGACAAGCTGGACGTAGCCTATATTGGGTGAACCAGGGTAAATCATCGTGTCAATCTCTCTACTCTTATCTTTTTTTCTGTTTTCTCGATTATGTGTGATTGTCGATTTCCAACAATTGGTATCAGAGCTTTGGTTCTGCGACCAGGGTTCCTGTGACAGATTGGGGTTTCGCGATTTAGGGTTTTTTCTTGGCATAGATAAAACTGCGAAATTGATCTGGAGAGGATGTCGACTGGCCAATCACGGGTCGAGGTTGAAAAGTTTGGAGGAAAAGGGTTCGAGTTATGGAAGCTGAAGACGGAGGCTCTGCTCGTTGACAGGGACGTGTGGTACGTGATCGAAGATGATAAGCCGTCCGTACCAACAAAACCTGTCGGTGAAGAAACGTCAGGTGATGGCGAGTCGAAGGAGTTGAAGGCGTGGACCAGAGACGATCGAAAGGCGCGAAGCCTGATCTGGTTATGCCTGGCTGATAACGTTCTGGTGAACGTAACTTCTGAGAAGACCGCGAAGGATCTCTGGACGAAGCTGGGAAGTCTCTATCAGAGCAAGTCACTCGTGAACAAGTTGTTCCTGCGAAGGAGGCTGTATAATCTGCGGATGAGCGAAGGTGATTCTTTCTCTGCTCATTTAAATGAATTTAATACTATTTGTGCACAACTTTCGTCTATAGACATTAACCTGGACGAGGAAGACAAAGCTTGCACCTTGTTGTGTTCACTGCCCAACTCTTGGGAGCACATCATTGTGTCAATTGGTACTAGTGTTAATAAACTGTCGTTTAAGACGGTTGTTGCTGCCTTATTGTCTGAGGAGATGAGAAGGGTAGGTTCTGAAGGTACCAACAATGAGGCTCTGGTTGCTAGAGGGAGGAGTGATGACAAATCAAAGTCTGGTCACAGAGGAAGATCGAGGGGACGATCAAAGTCCCGTGATAAATCTGATAAATCTGAAATGAGGTGCTGGAGGTGCAAAAAGGTTGGACATCTGAGAAGGAATTGCAGAAGTAAAAGTGTAGGTCCTGAGAAGCGGGATGATTCACAACCGTCTGCTTCGGGTACAAAGAAGGATGATGATGATAGTACAGGGGACCTGTACATGGCGTTTGACAGTCATAATGACTGTAATGATTGGATTATTGACACTGGAGCATCGTTTCATATGACACCTCATAGGGAGTGGTTCTGCACCTATGAATCGTATTCTGGCGGTACAGTTAGAATGGGAGATGACACGACTCATGCAATTGTGGGGCGTGGGAAGGTAAAGCTGAAGATGAGTGACGGGACAATCAAGAATCTGCCGGGTGTGATGCATATTCCGGGGCTTACCAGAAATCTGATCTCCGTTGGTAGTATGGCAGATGCTGGTATTAATTTTAGCAGTGACAAGTATTCTTGCAAGCTGACTCGAGGAGCTTTGGTTATTGCAAGAGGAGAGCGTCATGGTAAATTGTGGAAACTGCTGGGTGGCACAGTATTCAGTGGTGAAAGCTATGTTTCAGAACAGGCGGAGGAGGACACTGCTATGTTATGGCATAGGAGGCTGGGGCATATTGGAGGAAAAGGTCTGGAGACTCTAACATCAAAGAAGTTGGTGGATGGAATTCCGAGCTGCTCTATGGGGTTTGGATTTTGCGAGCATTGCCTGCAAGGGAAGCAAAAACGGGTATCTTTTGATTCCATAGGAGGAAGAGCTGAGGGGGTTCTGGACTTGATACACAGCGACGTGTTTGGCCCCACACCTGTAGCATCACATGGAAAATCAAGGTATTATGTTTCTTTTACTGATGATTTTTCAAGATATGTGTGGTTATATTTCTTGCGCAGCAAGGATGAAGTGTTCGATAAATTCTGCGAGTTCAAGGCTTTGGTGGAAAATCAATTTGAGCAAAAAATCAAGGTGCTGAGAACTGACAATGGAGGGGAGTTCTGTTCAACAAAATTTGACCAGTTTTGTGCGAGCAATGGGATTGTAAGACAGAAGACTACTCCCTACTCACCTCAACAGAATGGGGTGGCAGAGAGGTTGAATCGATCTCTCATGGAGAAAGCACGGAGTATGCTGAGCGGTGCAGGCTTGGCAACTGAGTTTTGGGCAGAGGCAGTGGCTACTGCTTGTTATCTGAAGAACATATCTCCTACATCAGCTTTGAAGGAGAAGACTCCGTATGAAGCACTGTTTAAAAAAAGGCCAGACGTATCTCATATCAGAGTGTTTGGCTGTGAAGCTTATATGCACGTACCCAAGGAGAAAAGAAACAAGCTTGACAGTAAATCTGAAAAATGTATCTTTATTGGGTACAAGGATGGCGTCAAAGGTTATAAGTTGTGGAATCCGGATACTAGAAGTGTAACTTACAGCAGAGACGTTGTATTCAGAGAATCTAAGTTGAATCAGATTTTTCCTGAAGCTCCTGAAAAGTCACAGACGGTGGAGTTGGATGTGGGTTTGAAAGAGGATACAATAAACTCAGATTGAATTGGAAAATTTGAATTCTGAAGCTGCTGAATATAATGAGGTAGAGGATGAATTTTCTGAAACTGAGGCTGAGGTTGAAGCACCAGTGCTGAGGAGATCCACGAGGGAAAGAAGACCATCTGAGAGGTATACACCTGAAAATTATATCCTGTGTGCTAGTGAAGATGTTTGTGCATTTAGTATTACAGGTGATGATCCGAGCACTGTAAAACATGCGAGGAGCTCGGAGGATGCCAAACAGTGGGAGGAAGCTATGAAAGAAGAGATGAAGTCTCTGATGAAAAACCAAACTTGGAGTTTGGTGAATGTACCTGCAGACCGAAAAGCAATTGGTTGCAAGTGGGTGTTCAAGAAGAAGGTTGGTGCCAATGGGGAGATTGAACGCTACAAGGCTCGATTGGTTGCAAAGGGATATTCACAGACAGAAGGGGTTGATTATGGTGAGGTATTTTCACCTGTTGCAAAGTTAAATTCCATAAGACTGGTTTTGTCTGTAGCAGCTGCATATGACCTAGAGGTGGAGCAGCTGGATGTGAAGATAGCTTTTCTTCATGGTGATTTGGAGGAGGTTATTTTCATGAAGCAACCAGAGGGGTTCATTGCAAGAGGCAAAGAGGAGCTAGTCTGCAAGCTGAATAAATCTCTGTATGGCCTGAAGCAGTCCCCAAGGATGTGGTACATGAAGTTCGACACTTATGTGCTGAAGCTTGGCTTTGACCGTTGTGATGCTGATCACTGTGTTTATGTGAAAAGGTTAGAAGGTGACTTTGTTATTTTAACTTTGTATGTTGACGACATGTTACTCGTTGGAAACAGTTTGAAAATGATCAACACTGTTAAAGGACTGCTAGCAAAGCAGTTTGAAATGAAAGATCTAGGCGCTGCAAATGTGATCTTGGGTATGCAGATTAAGAGGGAGCGTGACAAACGAAGATTATGGTTAAGTCAGCAGAAGTACATAGAAGATGTTCTGAAGAAATTCAAGATGACTGACTGCAAGCCTGTGTTGACTCCCATGTCTACTGGTTCTAAGTTATCGGCTGACCAGTTTCCCAAGACTGAAGAAGAAAAAGAAGAGATGGCGTCAGTTCCTTATGCTAGTGCAGTAGGGAGTCTGATGTATGCCATGATTTGTACTCGACCTGATATTGCTCAAGCAGTGGGAGTATTGAGCAGGTATATGTCCAAGCCAGGAAATGAGCATTGGACGGCTGTGAAGCGTGTGTTCCGCTATCTTCGTGGTACGTCTGACCTTGGGTTATGCTATGAAGGCGTGAAGGGCTCAAGGGGACAGACATTGTTAGAGCTGAGATGCTTTGTGGATGCTGATTGGGGAGGTGACATTGATAGTAGAAGATCTACAAGTGGATATGTTGTTTCTTCATTTGGCGGAGCTATCAGTTGGATGAGTAAGAGGCAGAGCAATGTTGCTTTATCTTCTACAGAGGCTGAGTACATGGCCTTGACACATGCTGTTAAGGAAGCTATTTGGTTACGGAGGTTGTGCAAAGAGCTTGGCTTTGCACAAGGAGAGATGATCGTTGGGTGTGACAGTCAGAGCGCCATTTTCTTGGCTAAGAACCCAGGTTTCCATGCGAGGACCAAGCATATCGGCATACAGTACCACTTCATCAGAGAGAAGATTGAAGACAAGGTTGTATTGCTGGAGAAGGTTGACACAAAGGTCAACAATGCTGATTTTCTGACCAAGGCAGTGACTTCAGAGAAGTTTGAATGGTGTACAGATGCATTGGGATTGAAGAAACATGTGAAGCATTCACCAAGTGGGAGAATGTTGGGTATGGCTCATACTTCACACGATGATGTTGGCCCTAATTGTCGGGGTCAGCAGAAAGGCAACTGGGGTCCCGCTCTCAGGTGAGCGGGCGGGGATCCGGGGGAGCCGCCCCGGCGGGGGTCCGGGGGGCAGCGCCCCCTGGCCCGTAGAGGCTAGGTAATGTTTAGGCCTCTGTTTCTATTGTAATTTTCTTAGCAGTTTGGGCTTGGGCCCATTAATAGCTGCTGTTAGGGTTTCTTGTAATCCTATTTATATTTGCCTTGTAAACCGAGAGACTTGTAACGAGTGGCGATAAGGTGAATATAGTACAGACAAGCTGGACGTAGCCTATATGGGGTGAACCAGGGTAAATCATCGTGTCAATCTCTCTACTCTTATCTCTTTTTCTGTTTTCTCGATTCTGTGTGATTGTCGATTTCCAACAGAAATCCCACATCGGAAAAGTTCTGGTATATGATTTATATGGACTTTAAGCTCAACTATCTTATCAGTTAGTTTTTTAGGATTTTTTTGTAAAAAATAAAATTAAAAAATAATCTTAATAAGCATTAATATGTTCAGGAATTTGTCTATTGCCTCTTGTATGCAAATTATTTGTCTATGGCGGTTTGTATTAGACTGCTTTCTTTAAACAAATTAAAAAATTGAGTTTCTTAAACCGGTTGTCAGAATCTTTTTCGTAACAAAAAAAGAAAAAAGGATCTTAATTGGATTACCATAATAAGCATTAATAAGAAAGAATTTACATTCAGGAGTTTGTCTATTGCAGGAAGGGCATGATTTAATTTAGCAATATGAGCTATACAAATTATTGGTTGTCTCTTGTATTTTGACACCATTATATTAAAGTTTGACATCGTCAAATATTTTTCCAAATGCGCATGGTATTATTGCTCATCAGTCATCATTCATTCTTCTTTTGTTGGCCACAACCGATGTATAGGTCGTAGGTTTCTTTCCTCCCTTTAGATGGTTCAAGTATGTTTATCTGTTTACATCAATTTTACTTTTCATAACCTACTCAACAAATGTGTCTAAACCAAAATATTGGTATAGTTACATGGAAGTAGGATAATAATTAAACAAGTGGGTACCCATTAGTTATAGCAGAAATTTGTTACCCTGTGGCTCAATATCAGCAGCAAAATATTGGAGAACAAAAAGAAGGTGGGAGAGATGTGCCACATCATATGATTATGTCATGTGTGTATTATACCTTTTTCTTGACCATCACGTTATACACTCAATCGTTCTTTCTTTTCATTATAATAAAATATACATACTATACAAACAGATTTTTTTATTTTTTTCTGATTATGATTTTGCTGCGTAAGTTCACATAACTAGAAAGTATAAACCATCTTCATGGTTCCCAAAAGCTTAAACTGCAATTTAAGTCTAATGTTTTTGAACTTGTGGAGTCCATGTCACTTTGGTATTGGCTGTTCAAGTCAAGCATTTCTGACAACTTGGTTTTCCTCAAATTGTTGTCACATCTTTTCCCATATGGTTGCTCGACACAGCTACCATCAGATTTGGTTGCTGCACTTCTCTTTCTCCCACTAGCTTCACTACTTGAATCTCCAATGGTCATTAATGGCAATTCAAGTGAAATAGTATTGGAATTTAAGTACCCTATTTCTTCCGTTGGTTCTTTCTCTTCCTTTCTCCCACAGCTTTCAAAAGATGTTAAAGAACTTTCCAGTGAAGACATAGTTCCTATGTCTTGTTTCATCTCCCCACAGTTTAAGCTTAACCCTCTTGTTTCTGTCAGTTCTGAGATGGGAGAACGCGGACAAGCATTGTTGATTATTGTAACTAGCTGAGAAAGTTCAGCTTTTGTGAGTTCTATACCCACTGGGGAAGAATTGTATCTTGCAAGTGCTTCCTGTGCCTTTATTAGCACTGATTGTAAATACTTCCCTTGAGCTTCAATTCTAAGCTGCAAATGTTTCTGCACCCAAAATCACAATCCAAATTAACTAACATGTCCTTATGCATCACTCAATTGAGCAAGTTTAAATGATAATCATATGTGCTACCTCAATATGTTCATTAAGTTCCCTTTGTACTTCCATTTGCATTTGGAGAGCCTGAGCTATCTGCAAGTTTCTGGTAAACACATAATATGATCAATAAATGCTCTAGGCAATACCATTTTTTATCCAAGATTCATTTAAAAAAAAAACAAATATTTGATAAATTTGTAATTATTACTCAGTAATTTGATTCTGGGCCCCAATACTGATTTCCCTGCTGCAATGACCATCACTGCTCTTGATTTCTCTGTAATCTGCACCAAAAGGAGCACCAATATTATGTCAAATGAGAAAATTATCAATCATGCTATTTGCTGTTAAACTAGCCATACTACAAGTTACCATCTTGTTTGTTGTCAGAGCCGGTTTCTAGCTGTTGACTTTTCCCAAGTCTATATTTCTATATTCAGAAACACAAACAAGTTACAATTCCTGACTTTTAGATTCAATAAATAAAAAAACGAAGAATTATACTATCATTGCAAAAGGGAAATGCCTGTAAATGGCTCTTCAGGTGGTACAAAGTAAGTCCTGGAATTCCCATCACCCTCATAAGACTCTTTGGGGTTGCCTCTGCCACATGTATAGTGTGAAATATATATATAAGCTAAGATATGCTCTAAAGTCTAATAACAAAATAGTAAGGTCACTAAGTATGTGTTATACTTACTATGTGCACCTCCAAGCTGATTAGTCGCCTCAATGAATCGTTGGTGAAGCTCAGGAGTCCATTTTAGCCTTGGTTTGGCATCAGTGGACAGAACAAAATGCACACTTTGATTTTGCATGTTCTGCAGATCCATTTGCTTTTTTAGGAAGAGTTACTGGTAATGGACTGAAACATAAATATTTCTTTTGATTCTTTTAGCTATAGTTCTCTTTATAACTTGGAGTTGTTGTGCTGTTCTATGATCTCACTCCATATCAGGAAACATAAGTGGGGTTATGTTGGGAGAATATATGCCATGACATGGGGCACTTCCTCTCTAATCCCACTTAATACCCACTTTTCCTTTTTTTTTTTTTTTTTAAATCCCTCTACTCTCTCTTCTTTGACTTGAATGGTGTGGAGAGAATCTATGATACAGGAAAAACAGAGAAAGCAAAACAGCACAAAACTTTGAGTCTTAAAAGGAGAGAAAAGAGGGAAAGTGTGTGGTTTGTTTTTATCTGTCTGTTTTCCCACTCTCTCCCCCCCTCTATGGTTGATTCCCTACTGAATTAGGTAGGCCCACCATAATGAATAATAGGGTACTACTTTTCTTAATGCTGTTAGAAGCTTTCAGGGAAAAAAAATGATGGGAATGCTGTAATGGATATCTTCTTTTGGTTATTGAAAGTGTAAACTATATGAATAAATATTTCTTCAAATTTCATTTTCCTCTTTACTAACTTCAAATTTGATGTTGTTTTATCTTTTTGTTTCATATAGAGATGGAAGAATCAAAGAATCTAGGATTAGATTTTTGGACCCATAGCCCTCATGTTTTTAACTAATCAGCCATGTTTTAAGATTAAGATGGAGCTCCTATCAAAATGACATTAATAGAATACGTGTTTGTTCAAGACACTGAATAGGTAATCATTTCTACGATTATTCATACAAAAGGAATCTCAACACTCGAGTTCATTAAGGGACCATTGCCACAGTTTTGTGCTTGTCATGACTTAACGAAGTACTAACCCAATCCATCAATGTAAAGCTGTATTCCATCAAGGAATTGAGACTAAACATGCTTAATATTAGAGTTTATGGCTAAAAAAATAAAATAATAATGAAGTTTTCTATTCCAATCGCAATGTACCGAGAAGCTCCCTATACCCTTTTGCTGTTAAGTTGCAAGGTAACAAAATAACTAACGGAAGTTTAATATGAAACTAAAACTACCACAGTCACAATAAGATGACAAGAACGTATACACAATATGTGGCTGTGCACTTTTCTTTGTAATATGAAAGCAATCAACAGGGTTCACTCTTCATGAAAGTACCATAAAGAAATTTTTCCAAGGGGAATTCATGCTCTAATGCTGTGATACATATATCTAAGCTGAAGAGAATAAAAGAAATTTTCACCAAAAATAAAAGGAAAGAAGAAAAGGGTAAAGGAGTTTTATAATGGCCAACCAACAAATTGTAAAAATCAATTCGAGCAATTCACTCTTCAGTTTTCTTGAATTGGCGTTTAGAGTTTGATCACTAAAAACAAAATACAATTATTCATCGTCAGGACACTGTCATTTCAGTACCATGGTTCCCAGCTGGTCTACTAAAACTGATTAACAGTATCCAAAGATTCAAAACTGAAGAAAATCAACCAAAATTTATTTTAAGCTAACCATTAGAAGAGCTACGCTTCCGTCACATACTATCCTGATTAGTTGACTTACCACAATTCCACTGCGAGTGGAATATTGGACACTATTTGGTATGAAAAGTCCACTAAACAATAGCTACCATTTGTTGGGACGCAACACAAACACACAAACAATCACAAAGTAAAAAAAAGAGAAAAAGAAGAAAAGGGGAGGCATAGAATTTACCCTGTTCATCCAATATTGGCTTCAACCATCAATATTCACTATATTATCCTTCTTCTCAGTGCACTCGTTAGAAGTCATTCAGTTTATAAATAAGTTTAGAAAATCCTAAACAACAATAATAGAGTCCAAGCCCAAAATACTAAAAAGAGAAATAAAATAAAATAAGTCAAAGATACACAACAATAAGGTCTTCAGTGTCCGGAGGGCATTCTCCGATCCAGAGGGCATTGCCCCCCAATCCTGCCGGGGCAACTCCCCTAAACCCTGCCCGCTCACACGGGAGCGGATTAACTTTCTGTGCATCCCACCAACAAAATTCATTATCTGAATGCTAAGTAAGTCATACCCAACACCATTATCAGATAAGTTTTTAACTGATAGTGGAGTATAAGGATGATTTTGGTGGGTCCAGGAACAGCAAAAGGGGGAAGGGTGGGCTTCCTCTGCAAGCATCTGCTGCTCCTGTCTTGAAATACAATTGCTTAGTGGCAAGCTTAGCACACATTGAAAGAAAGGAATATTTTTATTGATACTTATTTGTGATGTGGCCCAAATGTTTGTTTGAAAAACAAGAAAAAGAGGGGAGAGTAATTTGAAGACCTTCCTCTTTAACAGCTGCTGTACTTGAAGTTCCTTTCTGGCTTTAATATATTCCACAAAAGGTAAAGGAGATTCCATGATGATGCTAAAGCCAAAGGGACCCCGGTATTCTTATTAGATCAGTAGGAGAAGGTCCGGTTAATCAAAAGTCATTTAAGCAAAGTTGCCTCATCAATTATTACTCTTTTAATGGACCCATCAGGGAAGATATCATAAATCCAATATCAGTGAAAGTTGATGAGAAGAATGTGGCCTCAGGAATCACAAAAAGAGAAGCAAAAGGAACTTGTCAACACCCCATCATAGAATAATTGAAAATTACTTAATAAAAGAAAAATTTTATGTCCAAGATGGTCGCTTACAGAAAATGACGTGAGCAATATGTCACTAAATAAATGTAGGATTCCAAGAGTAGAGTAGGCAACTAGGCATGAAGCATTTGTATTTGTATCTATAAGACTGTTAAAATGATCCTCTTGCACTTCAGTGCTTAATTTGTGTCAGCAAAACACAAATGCAAGTGAAGACATATTCCGGACAATTAGGAAACTTGAACATCATATATCCATACCTATAATAAGCTGTCATAATTGTACAGGGATCAACTGTTCCAAGTCTTGAAAGGTACCTAAACATCATCTCAAGATATGGATAGGGGCAAGTTGAGTATAGCCTGTTCAAGGAGTTCTATCTAGGTCTGCCATGTGCACCCAAATGCCCCTAATGAAAGGACACTTAGAAGAGCTATACTTCCAGGAACACCGATCAAAATGTCATTGTTCACCAAATTTTTTATCTAAATGTCATGCGAACAGTATTATTTTTCAATATGTCACGTGGACAAGTTTGCTGGGCACTGTACCGGCATCAATTTGCTGACGTGTCACGTTTTAGTGAACACAGTACCAAGTTCGCTGTTGGAAGTATCGAGCTTGGTTGGACTTTTTAATTGGAAAACGTGACATTCCAACCAAATTCGCTACCTGCAGTAGCGAACTTGGTACTTGTGTCCACTAGAAACGTGATACGTCAGCAAATCGAGTTCGCTACAGTGTCCAGTGAACTTGTCCGCATGGCATATTGAAAAATAACATTGTTCGCGTAGTATTTAAGTAAAAAAATTGATAAACAGTGACATTTTGATCACTGTTTCTACACTTCCACACACACACAAATGCCCCCAATCTATGCTTTGTAATCATGGTCGAGTTTCCTATCAGAGAACAATGGGTATGTTTTGCCTGTGTTTTGATTTTTTATTTTTTTCTTAAAATTATTTTGTAGAATAATTACTGCAACAGCTATTTTTATGTATTTTTTTTTATTTTGAAAGTTAAAGTCAAAACACAAAACAAAAATAATTCAGATTTTTTAACAAAAAAATCAGATACAATTTTATTTTATTTTTTTACAAAACAAGTCATATCAAACAAATTTTTTTATGGGTTTGATGTTTTTTATATTGTAGGAGAAATTATTTCCTACATATACATAAAAATGTATTTGGTCCATTTTTTTTCTCTCTTTTATTTTCATATGACTTGGTATGATCCTACACACTTTTATATATATGAATGAGAGAATTTCATCTCCTATAACATAAAAGACGTTACACCTTTATTTTTAAAAACAGTATATTCAAGGGCTAATGTTTCATCTCCTTCAAGTTTTTCAAATAGCTTATTTTACATCCAGAATTTCCGTTCACAGGCTCAATCCTAGTCTAACTTCAGTTCAAACGGTCCACTACGTATCATAGGGAACATTGTTATAGCACTGAGTGCATGAAATAATTGAACTAGGTGGATGACATATGATAGAACATATAGCATCCAATTATGATGCAAGTATATCCGATATTCATTAAAAAATATATAAGTGAATCACATATTTAATAAAATATTCAAAATTAAAAATTAGCAAATTACAACTATATTTTCGAACAATGAGTATTACTCCTCACTCTATCTACAAACCCCTACATTTAACATGGCTCATATAAATATAAACTTTTTGATAAGTGGAATCTAAATATAAATGGGCTTCTCTTTTCTCATGTCACATGAGATATCATCTCTCATATCATAGACACAATAAGTGGTGGGGCCCACCACTTATTAAAAAAGAAGAAAAAACTAAAAAGATAGCACGAATTTCGATGTCTCACAACATGAGAAAACTATCTCCTATTACATAAGAAAATGATTTCCCAATATAAATATATATTTTCTGTAAGTCCCTACATATGTATATATAATTATATATGGTCAAGCATCTAAGGTCAATCATTAACAGCCTCGGGATACAAAACAGAATTGTTATGGAATATTTTCGTATCCTAACCACTTACTCAAGAATCCTTTAAAGGATAACTACCCAATTATCCTAACAATATAAAACAGTAAGGCTGCTAAGGATAGAGTCTCTATCCCAACAGAAAGGAAGTTAAATCATACTACAAGTAGAAGATCTACACCAGCCCAAGAGGTAACCCTTATAAATAAGAGGTTAAAGACCCCAGGTACAGACTTTGAACTCATTTACTACTTCTGCCCACACTGTGCACACACTCACGTCTCGGCTACAAGCCTATTGCCTGTGCGCAGTGATGGAGATATTGGCTATAAGCCAACCAAGATATCTATCCATAGGATATCTCTGAGCGCATACCCTTGAGGTATCATTATACGGCTTAATAGAACCGAACA